TCCTAACTTTACAAACACCAAAGTTATGGCATTTCCGATCGTTCAGTTATATGGCAGCTATAGGATATAGTCGGCCGTTCCGACTTATATACTGCGTGCAAAGGAAAGAAGGGTGTGTGCAAAGTTTCAATTCGAAATCTTTAAAACTGAGAGACTAGTTCGCGTAGAAACAGACAGACGGACAGACAGACGGACAGACAGACGGACAGACAGACGGACAGACAGACGGACAGACGGACAGACGGACAGACGGACGACGGACATGGCTTATCAACTCGGAGGTGATCCTGATCAAGAATATATATACTTTATAGGGTCGGAGTGTCTCCTTCTGCGTTCACACTTTGACCAAATTATAATACTCCGGTATAAAAAGAATAAGAAATGGGCGGAGGCGATCGGAACGAACAGCAAGGCAAACGGCTACTATATAAATATGAACGTGTATATATAAATCGAAAAACTGCAAGAGCCCAGGGGCCATTTAATTAACAAAAACCAGCAGTAGCCGCGCTCCGAATGAGCTTTCATTTCCGCTACAGCAGCCAGGCACTTGGGGCATGAATGAAAATATTAAAAGATATCGATCGCCTTTCGATCTCACTACTTGCTACTCCAACTCCAACTCCACCTCGCCACTGCAACCGAAAACTCTTTCTGCCACCAGATTTCTGGTTTCTCTGCGGTTTGGGCAAAAGAAAAGACAACAGCAGGCCGCAAAATAATATCTATATACACATATGCAAGACGATCTGCAAGTGATCTGCCACAGTCTGTCTCCCCGGCTTTGAAAACGGTCTTTAGGAGGCAACAAGATTGCAGCCAATTACAGTGAAGATTCTAAAACGAAAACGAGTATGTGGGTTTCCCAAATCAAATTAGAAAGACTTTTAAAATTGATCTACTTTTTATTTTAATAGGTTTTAAGGGAACTTTAGTTCAATGTTCTAGCCTTAAACCGTTCGAAACCAAAACTGTTCCTCTACTGACTCTACTATTAAAGCCCCTCTTAACGTGCGCATTATGTTCGAATCATTATTTAAACCCGATTTTCTATGGCTATAGAGGAAATAGTAAATATTATTAGTCAAACATTTAAAATTTATCAAAAATAGTAATGGTAAAACTAATAATTATTTCCAGGTCTTTAGATATTTATGGGATTATCTGTAAAACCACACTTTTCTAGTGTCTGAGCTCTAATTTGAGTTTTGTGAAGTTGAATTAGAAAAGTTATCTTTATGGATGTTAGACTGTAGTAGCTTTAGCTAGATATTGCCCCGTATAAATTGCTCGTAGACACGTACACACTCGCATCGCAACGTCCATATGTTAAGTGACTGACGGATTTGGATTTGGCGCTGGGTAACGCCTCCAACTTCCGTTTGCTGTTTTGGCTTTGGTTTTTAAGTGCAGGCAGGCAGTCGGCGAGGGAAAAGCGAAATAAATGTATTCCCCGGTAGATGTAGATGCAGATGATCGGTGATGGTGATGGTGATGGCGATCCTCCATTCGCCGGTTTGGATGATGGTGATGTCAGTGGGAGACGACGCGGATCGCAGATCGCGGTTCGCGGATGAGGATGTGCGAGAGTGGGGCGTGTTTGGCTTAGATTGTGCCTTCGATAAAGTGAAACTCTTTGATGTACGAGCACGGGGGCTGATCGAGGCGGATCTGATGAGATCGGCGGATAAACAACGGCCACAGAGTATGGAAGAGCAGCCAAGATTGCCCGATCGCTGCTTAATTAGCCACGGTGACCCTCAAGGCTAAAGAAAAGGTGGGGTGATCATGAACTATTGGATCGGCGATCAGGGAGAGGGGAACTTTTTAATTGAATTCGATGGGGAAGTTATTTTATGAAAGAGGAAATGATCCTGACATCATCATCATTTCCCTAAATACGATTGATCAGGCGATGGTTTTTTGTTCTCTGTGTTTACCTTAAGTGGTGGAAATTTTTATAAAAACAAACAATCTATTTACTTTTGTATTTAAATCTCTTGCGGTTTTATGAAAGTGCTTCGGAGATCATCATCACTGCCCTAAATAATATTGATCAGGCGATGGTTTCATTTTCGGTGTTTACCTTAAAGCTGTGGAAATTTTACAACAGCAATCTACGTATTTCTTTTTGTATTAAAATACCTGAAGGTTTCCCATTTTCAAGGCTTGATTGAAGAATAATGCTTTTATTTATATACATGAAATATTTATATTGGAAATAGCTGTATATATTTCTTAGAATTTAAGTCGAATCATGCTTTAGTCACCTTTCCCTAGAATGAGGCTACTTCCAATCACTTCCCCTGCTTAACCCCAAAACCAATGAACCCTCTGACCGTCCATTGATCCCTCACCCTTATTAACCCCATTGAACCGTCTGCGGGCATATCGCATTACCGCATTTTGACACTTGCAGTCCCCAATTCTCAGGGGTTAAGGGTTGAATGGTCACCTGTTTAACCCCAAATGGCCAAAATGTAATGACAAACCCCAAAACGGGAAGTGGAAGTGGTTGGGATTCCGTCTGTCGTGTCGTGGCTTTCGTGTGTGAGAACGGATGTTTTGGCCGGCTCGAAACAATTACGCGGTCCGAGAAACAAAGGCCAGAAACCAAGTGATCGGAGTGGCCTGCCATTACAGATTTAATTATATAATTAATAAATGTAATCAACGGCCATGGCAAAGACAAGGGCCCAAGACCAAGACCATCTGGTGGAAAGACTGGCACTGGCACGCATGCGCAGCAGAATCGAAAGGAAGTTGTCGCCGGGAGAAAAGCGAAGAGAAGAGGGACTGGAAGGGGGTCTGCAAGAACTGGAGAGCTGGAGAATCCCCAACCCTTTCGGAGAAGAGCTCCCCCAGCTGCAAGTCAACGGAAATCGCAAAGGCAAAAAGCAACCGGGCAAAGGGGCAGAAGCGACAAAACAGCCACGACGACGATGGCCCAGCATTCTTGGACAGAAATGAAGTGCAGATCTAAAGTAGAATTGGATCAGGATGGGGGGATTGGGATCGGGAATGGGATTGGAAATGGGAATGGGTATATGGGTCTGGGGCAGGGGTTAGCATACGATCACATGTGTGTGCCCGCGGAGTGTAAGCCTCAGGTTGTGGGGACTTTGTGGATGAGCTACCCATGGGTTTTTGCTAGTGTAGGGTTTATTTAAGTTATATTACAAGTAAAGAAGGATATTTATACAGATATATTGATGGATTTTATTAAAGAATAAATGGGGACTATTAAATATCAATTGTTTTGAAAGAGTCCAAAAATTTATGCAATGATCTATTAATAAATAAACATAAGGCGTACTGCTAAAAATTGAGAATGATTCTAGTCCTATAAAAAATTCTGGAAATGATTTAGTGAATAAAATATCTATCTAGGTTAAACATTGCATAGAATATCAATTCTTTCAAAAGACTTGAATTTAAAACGTTGTTATGTTAGAACTCTCTTCTAACTATATAATAGTCTATCTGAACAAATCGTAGGGTATTTCCTGGACAAAAATCAGTATTAAAGCTGGCAAAAAGTGAGAAGGAAGACCCCTTTGAGAGTGAGGGAGAGGGAGAAGGAAGACGTTAAAAAGAATGACGATGAATGACGGGAAGCGCACAGCTTAGCAGCGCTTCTCTTGGATAATTGAGGAAGTTATAATTGCCAATGAATGGTCCTCCTGTCCCTCTTGTTCCTGCTGTTCCTCCTGTCCCCTCCTGTTCCTCCTGTTTCTACTGTTCCTCCTGTCCCCTCCTGCTCCCACTGTCACCTCCTGTTCCTTCTTTTCCTCCTGTTCCTCCTGTCCCCTCCTGTTCCTCCTGTCCCCTCCTGTTCCTCCTGTCCACTCCTGTCCCCTCCTGTTCTTCCTGTTCCTCTTGTCCCCTCCTGCTCCTCCCGCCCCCTCTTGCTCCTCCCATCCCCCCTGCTCCTCCTGTTCCTCCTGGCAAAAAGTCAAGAGCGGGAAGCAGAACATAAACCCTTTGGCACAAGATCGAAGAAGCGACAAAAAGCGAGAGAGGTGGAAAGGAAACAGTTGTTGTCTTTGGCGAACGGGAAACAGGACATGTCGACGCATAAATTGAAATGAGTGTCGTCGTTCCTTCTTTCCTTCTCTTTTTTTTCTGCATTTTATCATCATCAACGGAAGGACAATAATTGAGGGCCTGCCAGTCGGCTGTTATTAAGATGGAATTCAGAAATCGTTTTGCGACGCAATTCGTTCGAGCGATGAGCTAATAACTATTTGTGCATCACGCACATCCAGCGAGAATATAATAATGAAAATAAAGCCGCACCACCTGTGTCAACAATGAAAAGCTGCCCCGCCAAAGGTAGCAAATCAAACAAACAACTCATCGGGCCTCCTTATTATGTGCCTGAATACTTGACACGATTTCCAAGACAACACACCATAATAATATCCAAAGACAAGGACTTCCATTGTGCGTCCATTGTGCGCATAGAAGAACCCAGGTCCCCAGCAATCGCGATCTACACCGCCGATCTGCAGCACTCCTAAATCTAAATAAATGCGTGCCTATTGAATGGAACCTTTTGTGGAGGGAAACGCGCAGAATAGTCAAATATTTGCCAGCAAATTGTGGCCACACAGAAAAATATTGGACAATTTTATAGATTTTTTTCCTATCAAAAAGGTTTATGATAAATAAAAGATTTGAACAAAAATCAGTGTTTTAAGAATTAAGAAATATCCCAAAAAAAGTTTAGATACAATATTTGTCATATATAATCATTTCATATTCATATTTAGTAATTTGTATTTAAAAAAACAATATTTAAGATGTCCTAAACCATGATAAAAAATTTTTTATGGAATGTCATTATAATACACTTTTAAAATAACGAAAGAGTTTATTCTAGGCAAAGAGTTTCAGTAAGGTGCATTGCTTAATTTTGTAAGCCCACCGAGCGATATAAATAGGAGATCTTATCTATTATTAGAACTTATTAATGTTTTTTTCAGTGCACTTACCTCCTTGCTGGGCACGCAAATTGGAGTGCCCACTTTGACAATGCCGTTCTCCACCATCACGCCCATCACGATCGGATCTCGGCTGTTGAATATGAACTGTGGCAGTATCTGTGGGATGGAATCGAAGAGATAAAGATAGAGAACGGGGAATTAGATCAATGACTGTTGGATAGTCGATGATTTTGTGGGGTATAACTAATAAGCGGCTCAATCGGGAACGATCGATAACGATGGGCCGTCTCTTAACTACTTTTTAAATAATGTCCGATAATTATGGTGGCTTAGGCGATGCCAACAACGGATTTCGTAAGATAACATAACAACTTTGTGTCGGTTGAAGTACCCTATAAAAGGGGTATTTTGTTTTATGGGTTTAATCTTAAAAATTTGAATGGAAAATGGAAAAAATTGTTTTATAAACTACTACCTTAATAATATTTATATATTTAAAATAAGTCTTTAGATCTTTAAACCACAAACTAATAGACGTTTAAAGTCTAGACTACTACATTATGTACTAGAATTGTGCTTTAACATCTTTTACAGCACACCTTTCATTTCCCTTTTATATTAAGTGATCTGAAAATTGAATAAAACTTTGAAAATCACTATCTTTAAGATGAGTATAATATTCAAACTCTATTTTCTAGCGCATTTCCGTATCGTTGTGGCCCATTAATGAAGTGCACAAGCAACCTCCGACCAAAAACAACTTTGACTACACCAAGAACAACTTAATTTCCGTTGCGTCAACTGTTGAAGAAGGCCTCAAATGGGATGCCGCCTGCAGCACAGTTGAAGAAGCGGCACAATCAGAATCAGCCGGCATGGAAAATGGATCGTCCGTTGCCGGGGAAAACGAAAAGTGGCCCAGAGAACACGTTTCTCCAGCTCCAGGTCCACATGCACATGCACATGCCCATTTCCCCAGCTCCACAGCAAACTCCTTAAGACAGAAGGCGAGTTAATAACTCAAACTAAACAACGTCATTGTTATTACAAGACCTGCGACTGGGACTTGGACTCCAGAGAATCGTTGTTTTTTGAACTGGCAGAGTGCACTTAAAAAAAATAACCTACTACTATATTACTACCATATTTATTTGATTAAATTATAATCGAATTGCCTTAATCAAGGTCATTGATTCTGATTAAGAACACAATACTTAATAGAATAGGTAAATGAAATCTCTTTTTTACTGCATAACATACATGTATCTAAAGTTATAATAAGAGTAACAAGAGTAATACAAATCGAATTAAAGGATAACAAAATATCAAAAATATTTCAATATTTAATATGTTATAATTTGAGTGTAAAGATCGAACGAATGCTACTAACAGCTGTGCGCTGTGTGTCCAATTACCAGCACAGTGGGAGCCCAGTGGCTAGAAGTGGCCTAGAGTGGACCCGAGTGGACCTGAGTGGACCAAAGTGGCCCCGAGTGGAGTGCAGAGTCGAGTGGAGTGGAGTGTGGCGTGTTGAGTCCCAACATTGCATACGACCAAAATCTAATGATTGCCTATAAATCAAATACGCTGTTTAAACATTATTTGAGCAGGAAGTGTGGACGTGATGCAGGCGTCTGTTGGGATCTAAGGCTTTAATCGCTTGTTGAGTGGTTGTCTTGGCCCGGCTAGTATACTATATCGTAGCCCCCAGCCCGGAGTTTGGGCCAGCTCCATTCTTGTTGGCCAGCATCATTAGGCCAGCGTCAAGACAAGACAAGCCACAGCTGGAGATCCATTCTGCGTCTTTCTTGCAGTCGCAGTCAGAGTCGAAGTTAAAGTCAAAGTCTCAGTCTGATTCTCATTTTCCGTTCGGGGCAGATTGCATTTTACACCTGTAGCTTTTGGTAGTAATTGCAGCTGAGCGGAGGGCGAAGAAGTGGGGAAATGGAACACGAACATGGCCGCATTAAAATAATGCCCATAATGACACCGAATCCTTTTGGTTTCCGTCCTTAATTCGTAACAACTGATACCTAGTACAGTTAACAAACTAGTTGCAAGTTTTAAAACAGACACAAACTATTCACACATTTCAGATATCGCTTCTTGAAAAAAAAAAAAAAAAAATGTTCCGGTCGAAGCACTTCAGTTTCCAGTGCCATTTTCTTTCCATTAATTTTAGTATTGTATACTAGTTTTAATTTGACAAAATAAAAAAAAAAAATAAATAAAAAAAAAATATTTTTCTGCCGTTAAGGCTCTTTTCAAAACTGGCATTTTAAATTATTGGTTTGATTCCCATACAACTCAGTTCTTAAATTATTATTATATTATTTTATGACTTCGCTTTGAGATCGGTTTTTTTAAAGTAAAACAAATTTAGATCGACTTTTCCCCTTAAGACCCCACATATTTTAAATGCAAATAAATTATAAAAACAATTTAAAAACTTACCCTTAGTTTGCAGGGGAAGACAGCTACGGAGCGGAACTCTTCGCGCTTCTTCTGCTTGAGTTCCTCGCGGAAGGCGGTGAACTTGTCGAAGAGATGATAGATGATGTCCGCTTGGAATATTTTCACGCCCAGGGAATCGGCCATTTCCTGGGCTTCCCTTTCGATCTTCACGTCGAATGCCAGAATCGTTGCATACCTGAAGGGGAGAGCGACACAAAGAAGATAGTTAATAGAGATCAGTAATTGAAAACAATTAAAAGTATATGCACTGAAGAGACGGGCGACCATCCAAGTATAATAATAATAACTATAACCATAATGACACTGCTGCTGCCTCGATGGGCTTCCTGTCTAGAGAAGAGTTGGCCTAATGATCGGGCCACATGGCGATCCAAAGCACCAGGAAGCGTTAATAATTGAAATCACAAACAACCTCCCGACGGACGAAATCCAACGAAACGAAAGCAACTCAAGATGTTGTTTGTTTAGCTTGGTTAACTTTTGCCGTGTGGGGCTTTTTCAATGACAGGAAATGGTTGGCATTTCGAGAATCGAAACTGTCCGTCGACAGGAAAAGGTACCCAAGTGGAGTCAGCTAATGAGGGGCACTTTTTGGGATCTCTCCCGAACACACATCAAAATGGAAATGGGCTGGGGATTAAATTCGTTTGGGTAAAGGCGAAAACAGTTTAGGATAGAGCCCACGACTAATCGATCTATGAATTATGGGCAATTTGTGGAGCAAGGGGAACTAATATGGAGAAGATTAATAAAAGCAGGGCTGAGAACACTATTAAATTGTGATATATCTTTTGGTTTTGGATGCCAAAGAACACCTCAACTTGTTAAACACCTTCCAATTAAAAAAACGATTTGAATATATTGTCCAAAACAAGGGTTTATCTTTTTTATCGTTTTTCTTTTTGTTAAAATCAATTTAAGATCTTAAATTCAATAAGAAATAAATATAATTTTATAGCTCTTTCAAGAAAAAAATCACTATCAACATATTATTAGATTTTATTAAAAATTGGATAGAAAAATTAATATTTTCAATAACTGTTAATGTATTCATTTTAATTTAAATTAAGATGCACCTAATCCGCCATAAGAATAGTTCTTTCATTCCGGATACATTATAAAGTCATCGAATTTATGAATATCTGAGCTCTAAAAATTAAGACCCTTTTAAATGCAAACACTTTCGAGGCTAGCTTTTACGAGGATCGATTGGGAACCTCTCAAGGGGCAATAAATAGCCCACCATCAGATCACTTTCGAGTGGACGAGCCAATTTTATGCATAAAAGATCACATAAAAACAGTTAAACATTTTATGGGACTCGTAAATGCGACAGGAGGGCGATACGTACGCATATAAAATAGAACCCATTGAAGGCACTTTTTTTTTCCCCGGGACAGACTTTATTTTTATGGTCGCTGCTCGCAGCGTAAAATGCAAAATTTTATGGTTCGAAAATTCCACACGCGTAAAAATCATAAATAAATGAAGAGCAGCCACACATAGTAAAAGATAGTGGGGCGTGTATCTTTCGGATGGGCGGATATGTGCCCAAAAGTGGACATAACTCAGGCAGAAGTCACGCATGCGCAGGAAAAAAAAAAGGGCCGGAAACGGAAATGCTCCGTCTTGAGACACACAGATACCAGATACATTTTGTGACTGCATTTCTATTCGAGGTTTTTTCCGTTTTCGCGCTTGTGACAGCGTAATTTGAGTGGGCCGTAAATGTATCTGTATCTCCATTTGCATTTGCATGTGCAGCTTTTCTTGTTGCCAAGCAGAGCACGAAAATAGTTTTGCAATTGGAGACCGGCAAAGTAAAAGAGACAGGATTGGAACTGGGGACTGGGGAAAAGAAAAGATATAGATACTTGGACTGGACTATTTGGCACCACTTAATGCCGCTAATGAGACAAAGCCGCCGGCCCAAAGGTTTCGCTCTCCACAATAAATCATGGCCAGCCCATCCCGCTTAGCTTTATCCATCCCCCCGGTAAAGTGCATTTTGTGATTGCCGCTAAATGAATCACTTAACCCGACCATCGGCTCCTTCGTCGGCTAATATCACACACAATCTTCAAAGATCCGACCATATTGCGTTGTTTATCAAGTGGCGGGTGGAAAAGCAGGGGGGAGATTGTGTTAATGAAGTTAAGCGGCAATAAAATTGCATTGTTCGTTGTCATATATCAAAAAGTCGTTTATTCTCGCTGTCTCGCGGACCTCTTGCTGCCTTAAGTATTCGAATATAAAGCGGCAATGGCCTACAATGTAGTCAAAAGTGCGGATACTATGGTGTCGAAATGTGTGTGCCATGGCAAATGGAATGGGAAAGGTGTTACATGTAAGTTGGACACGTTCTCGAGAGGAAGTTCTAAAGTTGTAAACCAGAAAGGTGGTAAAAAGTAGGGGTTCATTGTAGCGAAACAGAGTTTAAGTGCATTCAGCAAAAGCCTTTAAAATGGTACTTAATATTTTTAAGTCTGATTAATTAATACAAAAAGTAATTGGGTACTAACATGTGTAGATTAATTTATGCATAATAATTTCTATTCAAGTCACTGATAATGAGTTCAACAACTTTGACTTTTCATTTCCGTCTCTCAACCCAAACTAAATAAGTCAAAGTGTGGAATTTCGCTGATTCATAATATTCATAATGTTATTTCCAAATCTTTTGTGTAATCTCTCTGAACCAGGAAGTCTGCTAATCCGCAGTGTCTGAAATATAATTCCGATGAATAATTGTCGAAAGAATTCCCCCTCATCACTTTCGTTGCTTTGACTAACAAACCAGCCGTTTGTCAATTATAGAAAACAACCAATGGATCAATTTCCCAGTTGTCGACACAATTTCTGCTTGCGAAATCCCTCAATGGGGGAGTTCAATAAACCCCCTCGAAAGTGAATTTGATAGTGGAAGTGCCACTACTCCAAAGTCGTTTTGGGGGACTCGACTGTACAAATTTTCGCATTCAGCGAATTCCCAAGAACTCTGGATATTGTATTATTCCATATGACACATCCGCAATCAAAAAGGGGGAAAGTGAACATAGAAGTGGTTAATTTGGGTTTACTTACTGCGCCTCATGTTCCAACATCGTGGAGGCCTTCATCACATCACGTTTTACTACGGGACCAATGCGAATAGCAGAGTACTGGAAATAGTAAATAAAAAGGGTTTGGGGTTATTATAAGTTTGGATTATTAGCATTATATATTTAGGAAATATTTCATGAATATATGACATTTTATTATAATAGAGAACGAACAAAAAATATTACTAGGCATGTTTTTCTATAATATTACCTATTAAGATTATTAGAATATCCTTTTCAATAGGATTCCAATGTATCTAATTATTTAGTTTTAACATCATTATTTATCTTTGGTTTTTATAACTAAAGATTCCAATGTATCTTATTTTAGTATTCTTTGTTGTTTAGATAAAACCAGCTCTTTCTGTTTTTAGCAAATGCACATTGTATATTTATAAAAAACTTTATTCATCAGAAGGCAGACATGTAAACGTACTTTGAGATACTATGTTGTCAACCATGTGTGGCTGCAAAGTTTTTCTTTTTTATGTGTGTTCTTCTCTCTTTTTGTTGGCCCAAAAGCATTTGACCCAAAGAAAACTTTGGCTATTTTTAGTCGCATGGCCATAAAAAAAATAAACGAAATAGAAAACCGAAGAGAGCAGCAGAATCTAAACTAAACAAGCAGTCCACTAAAGTGAAACATTTTTAAAATGGCCAGGAGACACTAGAACGAGACGGGAAACGCCGACGATGGGTTCATTCACATCGAAGATGTTCAATTTTTATTTTATTTTTCCTTTTTTTTTCGTCGCCAGATGATTACAAATGATCATTGATAAAAATAACAGCAGCAGCGCCAGAGTCTGACATGAATGAATGGATGGATGGTCGGGTGGTTTGGATGGTTTGGATGGTTTGGGTGGGTCGATGTGGTGCTGCGGACTCCAATGAGTGGGGCAAATGGAATTTGCTGTCGATAGCGACTTAATTGCGCCACCGGATATGCACGCGCCGTTGATAAGACCGAAATAATGAGAGGCTCCCGATTGAACCCATTAGCCAACTGGCACAGTGCAACTCGTTTCACTCTCTCTTTTACAGCTGCCTGATAAATTGAAATGTCGGCTTATCGGCCAGATTAATCGGATTAATTTAAATGTCAGTTTATCGCAGGCATAAATTAAGCATTATTGTAGGGGCTTAAAACGGAATGGTCTAAAATGGTTTTGTATATAGTACCATACTGGTATGCCGAAGTTTATATTCCCCTTCAGGTCTTACAGAAATCAAATATTCTATTCAATTTGGGTCACCTTTTTATATGTCATAGAAAACTTGAAAATAACTAACATAAAAATGCAAGATAATAAAAATTATATATTAAATATAATATATATAAATATAAAATTTAATATATATAAATATATAATATAAATATAATTTAATTATATATTAATTTAAATGACAGTTTATCGCAGGCATAAATTAAACACTATTGTAGGGGCTTAAAACGTTATGGTCTAAAATGGGTTTTTATGTATTAAACTACTGCAGCTTTTACAGAAATCAAATATTCTATAAAATTGGGGTCACCTTTTTACAAGTCATAGAAAACTTCAAAATAACTAACATGAAAATGCAAGAGTATACAAATTATTTATTAGTAATCATTATGAATTGTAATCGTAGCTTTTTTATAGACCTATGGTCTGCTATATGTGAATACCATAAAATAAATAAAACTCACAATTTTCTTTGCCTTCTTTGTAATAAATTTTTACCAAAACCCTGCTAAATTTTAAGAAAACATTTTTAGAGAGTCCATTGAATCTCCGCTGACGTCATATTAAATTGCTGACTTTCTGCTCAAGTGTTTCGATTGTAAATGGAATTCAATTACAGCTTAACCCATTCATGAGCATTTCATTCATTACTGCGAAACGCCTCAGCTGCTGACGCTGTTATAAAAGAAATTGTGTGTAACTAACGGAAAGCAAATAGGAAAAAAATAGGAAAATGCGAGAAAAGCGGGAGAAAAAGAGTTTTGCAATCAGCAAAACAATGAATGAAATCGGAAGTTTATTGTTGTATGCAATTGTGGCACAGTGGCAACAAAAGCGAGCAAGAAAACTCATAGTAATTGAGGAGGCGAGAAGAGAGCAGTCCTCGATTGCATGTAAAACGGCTGCAACGGAAGTGATAGCCAAATGCCCCCATTGCTGCACTCAAAACTTTTTAGCACTTAAATAAAATATATAAATAAAAATTTTAAAAAATATATATGATTTCAATAGTGAAAAAAATTGATATTTTTATAAACTTATTTTTTATTAATAACATAATAAAAATATATATATTTTGTATTTCTATATAAGATATTTTATACTCTTTTTAGAAAAATAAATAATTCAAAAAAATATTATTTCAAAAGTGGTAAATGTCTAAAAACCATTTTATTATTAATAACATTTACATTAAAAACAAAAAAAGACTAATGAAAAATACTTTTTAATTTTTGGAAAAGGTAAAAAGACTATTTTGAAAAATACTTGAAAAGTCTGGTAAATTAATCTTATTAGAATAAGGAAAAATAAAATTTTTTAGAATCTAACTATAAATATTTAGTAAATTTATATTTATTTAAGTCCATTTTTCAGTGGGTTGCTATGGGACTCAAAAGAAAGGTGTGGGTGTGTGGTGATTGGGGCTGGATTTCCACGTGGCAGCCGGGCGTCGATTTCCAACTGAATATCATTTCCCACGAACAATCAGTACGTGCGGCTGACTGACGCAGCAGCATTCACAATTCCACAATTCCACAATTGGCATCAGCAAAAAGGCCAGAAAAGCCAGAAATCGGAGACGAGAAAAGGCGTTTGCGAGGAATTTGTGGGCGGGAAATGCGTAAGTGGCAAATGAAAACGCAACCCAACGTTGAGCTAATTAGCAGGGAAGCTTGGAAGCCAAAGAGGGAAGCACACGCCCACCGCCCACCTGCCGCCCCTTTTCTGCTGACGTCAAGTGGCAACACCACTCAATGTTATCGATGACACGAGCAAAAGGCCAAGGCAGGTGGGTACACTGAACGAAAAGTTGTGAAGTAAGGGAATACAAGAATACAATTTATTTTCCCTCTTTAATGATAATATCTTACAAATTAATTAGTAGACCTAATGATATAATATACAATTTATTTAACACAATGCACAATTTAAACTTAATCTTCCTCTGTTAAACAATATCTTCCGACTGTCTATAATTTCTTTTAAATATTTAAGATAAATACTTTATTGATATTGCTCCCCATTTTAAATACATAGGATCTAAAGCAATATTACATCCCAAATCTTATTTATTTCAGCTATTCATTCCGTTTCTATATGTTTTTCTCGGTGCACAAATCGATTGTTTAGTTATTTAAACGCTAATGATGCCAATTTTGATGAAAAACAACTAAATTAATGGCACATGTCGACTCGACTGACTGACAGACAGCCTAAACAGGTGATTAATGTCGGGGGAACCTGCCTTTCGGAATTGGAAAATTGCGTCGATTTCGAGAAAATGCTGCACGTTCTTTGTGAACTTCCGTTTCGATTTTTGGGGTTCTTAAATGCAAACACATAACTATTATTTCAAACTTCCTTTCCTTCCAAAAATGCGGTCGCTACGTGTTTATGAATGAAAATTAAGCAATAAGCTCTGGAAAGTATCTGTGAGTTGCTCTCTGCATTTGTGTGCGAGTGATAGTGTGCGTGTGTGTGTGTGTGGGGCAGGAAGAATTGCTTCCGTTGTTGTTTTTGTTTTCGTCTTTCCATTTATACATTCATTCATTTACTCATTCACTTGGGTTCACTCATTCATTCATTGTTTTTTTCACTTCTTCCTTCCTTCTGTTTTTATACTCTTGCAGAGAGTATTATAATTTCCATAAAAGCATATATATTCTTGATCGGTAAATACAATAGGCAAGCAACTGTCCCAATTTTAAATCTATATTGTTGTATCTCCAAAAGACTTATTTTTATCGTTTTCACATTTATAAATATTTTGTTATTTAATAGATGAAAATATGAAATTATTTTTAGGATTTTAGATATTCATTTTAAATGTTATCAAAATCTGATGGCTATGTCTTATATTTATAAAAATTTAGGACAAGGTAACATAACTTAGTTTTCTCTTTATTTATTAATGAGGAAAAATTAATTTTGATCAAATTATGAACATTGCCCAATTAGTTTTTATGATAACTGCAAGGGTATTGAAACTTCAGATTCCTTTCTTTCCCGAATTATTTTTTTTTTTTTTGTTTTCTTGGTGGGGCAATTTGTTTTTGTTGTTTTTGGCAACTGCGTCGCATTAATGAAAACATTGGCATTGTCTGCTTCTTACCTCACTTCCTTCCTGCCGCCGTAATGCCCATCTAGTACTACGAAACACGCTAAGCATGAGAAAAAGAAGAGCCACGACCGCAGCGAAATGAAATTCATTCATGAAATTCAACGAAGAGCGTCCAAAAAAACACATAAAGGGGCGGAGGAGAGGGTTTAGCACCCAACAATGGACATTTTCAGGGTCCAGTCTTTTCTTCGGGGTCACCCTTTGCCCCCATGCCCCCCTCCTCCATCGAACCACTCATGAATGGGCCTCCGAAGACGTCACGCCACTCGATCTAAACAGTTTTTATGCCTTCAATGTTTCCCAAGATATTTGCGTGGTATTTTGTTTTTCGCTCATTAATTGCGTAGTTTTTCTGCTATACGAAAACGTAACTTAATCAGCAATAAACAAACTCTACCTAGTATAAAACAAATTCCGAGAATATTTTTAGACTGAATAATTTAGAAATAATATTAGTAGTTATAAATAAATAGGTAGATACACTATCATTATTATTTGATTAAAAGGAATGTCTTGGAATTTTAACATAATTTAAAACTCATTTATATGGTAATTATTAAAAATGAGGTAATTAGGTAACAATTAGTTTATTAAAGCAAATGAAATGATTGATATGGATAATTTAATTAACAAAAAAAAACTGTTATATAATTTGATATTCTTCCTAGCAAACTACAATTTTGTCAGCATTTCTAATTGAAAAGTAATGATTT